AGAGAGAGAGAGAGAGACGGAGACAAAGAGAGACAGAAAGACGGATGGACAGCAGAGAGACAGAGATTAGCAACAACAAAAAAAGGTGGGAGGAGCGGAAAGGGGTTTGGGGGGGGGGAGGAGTTGGACGGAAGTTAGGAATAAATAGGCTATGAAAATGATAGGGAAAATACTCTCGCTACTCGGGTGTAATGGGGAATCTGTGCTCTGGATCTCATACATGGTTATTAGCGGCGATTTATGGTTGTTAGTTTGCTGTAACAATGGTGAAGCTGGTCTGGTTCTGTGTCCATCCATGATGTGGGTCAGGAGCAAATATCTTTAACTCTTTATGAACCTAGCGGTCACATATTATTATTTTTCTGTTTTTGTTTTAGTAAGGTTTTACGACGCTCGCAACTGCATAAGGTCATACGAGTGATGTCGGATCGGCAGCAAACAAAAGTCAATGTAGTGCTACTCGCTTCAAACCGCTATAATAATAATAATAAATAGCATTTGTATAGCGCATATCCCCGCTCAACTGCAGGTTCTATGCCCTTTACACTATAATACCATACACAATCTAGAAACACAGATTTGCATATTTCATAGGATAGATCTTATTGGCTGTCTTTAAAAGTTTCAGATCAGAGAAAGCAAACAGGGTTGAAACATTTTTGCGAACGTGGAAGTTATGCTTCTGTTTTATCAATTGTTTCCAAAAGCATCCCAGCTCATCAGGCGACTCACCAGGATGCACCTCCTGAAAGGGTTAATGTGACCAGGTTCAGTAGTCCAACTCGTACTTTTGCTAATACCACGTGACACGGCTTAGCAATCTTCTCATCGGTTTTCTTAAAACATATTCCAGTATAATGTACATGATATTATTTAAATTATTTTAGTAGTATTGATATTCTAATACTGATAGTGCTAATAATATTAAGAAAATGATAACGATGACAATATTGATAATAACAGTAATAAAAAAGAATGACGATGATGCTGTCTATAAAGATAATAATAATTTTATCCGACTGAGAGGGTCATACAACTCTTTTGTTAGCATGAGATAGAGATAGAGAGACAGAGAAAGAGGAAGACAGACACACCGACCGACAAACAGACAGAAAAACAGACAAACAAACAGACAGACAGACAGACAGACAGACAGACAGACAGAGAGACAGATAGCTCATATTTATCCATGTACGTACTTTTATCCTAATGACTGAGCATTTGTGTCCTGAATATTTTCCCAGTGAGCGCTGCGCACAGAATAGAAATGCGCCTGATCTACGTAAACACGATCCCTTAATAATTATGAACATCATTATGATTATGTCTTTCAAATTGAAAAAACTGTCGCAATTTCTGTCAAGCTGAAAGTGACGTAATAACAGATGTAGGTAAACATGTATTGATTCGTTCCCTAGTTCAGGGGCATGTCGTTTATCGTTACTTCTCAAACAGAACATTATTCCTTCCAATTGAAGAACGACGCAGCAATAATTATGTTCCAAGCACTTTACAGGCACAATTGAACTTCATGCACACGAGTTACATGGTTGCAAGTACCTTGCAAAGAAATACAATGACACACGTACATTTCGTTTGTCATAAAATCATAATGACGTCGTTTCCAGAGCAAAGACAGTGACAATATTAGAGAAACGGAGCACGACTTTTTTCAGTTCATGAAAGAAGAAAAAGAAGAAGAAGAAGAAGAAGAAGAAGAAGAAGAAGAAGAAGAAGAAGAAGAA